GTGTTTAACAAAAACAAAATTAAAAACTTTTGCAATTACATATTTGAGAGCTGTAAATTTCGTACCCCTCAAKCACATGTGCGTGGTAAGTGGAAGTTACGCAGATAAAAAGCCTTGCCATGGAGGTCAAGCCAGCCAAGTTGTGGTGCTTTGAGGTTTAAGTGATCAYCATCATGTAACCAGTGGTGGTTGGATTGAAGTAGAACTTGCTYTCTTAGTCGGGTATTCACAAGCACAAGCTGCTAAGTCAAAAACGAGTTGAGTGTCGGATTTTCGAATTTGCACCTAATTGCTCCGTAGAGCATTACATTTCGAGGCTCTTGAGATTTCCAAAACTTAAGACAAAATTTCAAAATATGTTTGTGAGGTAAATAATGAGAAGCAAAGCTCGAAATATTTTCACATCGACGGAATTGTTGGATTACTTTTCTTATGTATATTTTGCAATATATATAACTTSATTAAGTTCCGGTTGGTAAAGAAGAATGAAAATAGTTCAAGAAAGTTTTGAAATAATGTTTTTAAGCGGTAACATGGGTTTGCGCGTTTCAATAAATCGAATTTCTTTTGTCTGATAAAATTCTACAGAACTTTTTGAATAGTGTCCTAAATTTTCAAGTTGAGCCGAGAAATAGTCTCGGAGATATAGCCTTAAGAACTTATTCGCTCGAAGCTAGCTAGGCTAAGTGYGCCGTCTTTAAACGTGTTTTGCTCGAAACTGTCCTTTTGAAGTCGGTTGGCAAGATTTTTCGAGAACTACTCAACCGATCTTCATGAAAATTTATATAAAATTCTTAAAGATTTGGAGGGAAGATTTTTTTTTTATTACAACTTAAAAAAAACCATGTCGCGAAATTGTCACTGAAATTAAATTTTTTTTATTTGCTGGCAAGAATCAAATTCTCAGTTTTTTTCCTGCGTCCAAGTTCTAATTTAAGGTTTTAACTAAAACATGTATTTTTTCACCTTAGATGATCCTGTAAGGAGTTATCSCGCCAATGCGGGCGCATCGTTTATCCGAGGAAATGGCGTCGCAATGGCCGAGCTTAAAATATTTTTTCCAAAAATTTCAGATTTGCGTTGTTAATAGTGGTTGAAGAAAGGCTGTTTTTACCCGAGGAAACCCATGTAACCTTGGACAGAATCGTCAATTTGTAATTGTTGTTACTTGGATAAGCAAATAGTAGTAAAATGGAGAAGAATTCGTAGTCCTGAAAAGAGGCAACGCATTCTGATTTGTGATATAAATCACAAATTAAACCTCTCTGGATCACCATATTACCGAATATGTAATTCTCTGGCCTTCTTATTATTTTGTTACTGTAAATTTTGAACAATATTTGAGGTAGCTTCATAGTTTTAATAAAAAATCTGCTTACTGTTGCATTCTGAATTGAGAAGAGAGACCAMTAATGGAGAAAACTGGTCTTCAAGTATACCCTCCATTAATTCACACAAATCGCGTAAAAGTGTTTCGGTTTCTCCGGACATAYAGTGAAGCTCTATTAAACGGACACCTTTAACCGTGACAGAGGCCGGTTCAAAAGTTGTTGGTGTCTATTAAGAACGGATAACTCTATAAGGCCTACAGCTCTATTAGGTGGACAAAAAGGCTGCTTATGCAAGTGTCCGCTTAATGAAGATTTCTCTGTATTTAATGTTCAGTTCCAACCGAATTTTTGCTTTCATTATTCGTTCATGTATCTCCTCAGATATTTTTAAGCATTTTACTAATAAGTTTTAATGTGATTGAGCCATGCTTGCCACCCCTATCGCCGTCGAAAAATCGTCGATGAAATAAAATGGAATCGAAACTTTCCAGGACTTTGAAAATGCATACAAACCCAACACATATATTTTTTGTGCTTAAAAAYAACAAACATTTACGAAGACAGCAAAGGAAACATATTAAAGTACCGGAAATTTCAGCGCTTTCATTGGTCGATTTCGAGCATTTCGAGTTTGCGGATATCAACATGGCGAGAATAAAGTGTTAACGAATTTTAGCTGCCAAAAATATCGTTTTCATTGCGCATTAACTCGCCGCCACCCCACAATTCCACAAACGCGCTTGGGTCTTCCGTAATATACACAGCATAAATTCGCCGGCTGCTAAGACGAGTGTAAACACGCTGCATACAAATGTAAACAGCAATTGTTAGCRCAACAAAGCAAGCAAGCGGACAGCAAACAACAGCAATAATAAAGGGGCAGCAAAAATAAAAASTAAACGGGTAAATGTGCAATGCGCAGAAGGACACAAGTTTGGCGGAAATGTCACAAAACCGAAAATGTTATTTATGGCTGCAGTGGAAAGCGCAAAAGCCCATAAAAGGGTCAGAAGAAAGCACGAAGACTAGTAAGAACACAAAAGATAAAAAAGCAAATAAAAAAGTTAACGTGTTTGTGACGTTGTTGTTGAAGCGCGCGGCATAGGCAGCACAAGGGTAATGATGCCTTACCATTTGCAGCGAGCACACACACAAACGCATACAACTGCACTCATAAATTTCTGCGTTTAGCGCAGCGCACCGTTCGCACCGTTCGCACCGTCGCTTCAGCGCTTTTTGCAATTTAGAATGCCAGCGCAGCGCGTCACGACAGGACATAAACACGAGTCGCTCGCTTTGTTTGCTGTCACATTTAMTTTGCGCAATTATTGTTGCTGTTGTTGTTCGCGTGCATATTTATAATTCTCTTTTCTTTTTTTCTGTGTGTTTGCGCTTTCTTAAAGGCAGCGCGCCTGCCAAGCGGCGATGAGAAGCGGAAACTGAAGCTTAATTGCTTGTTGCAGTCGCGAAGGCAGAGCGCTAAGCGCGCTCTACTCTCCACAGCCGCTAAGCGCGGGGTGTTGCACGGTTTGCGCTGCCGGCTAACGAGCTAACGGCACTGCCGCAGACAACCAAAACAAGTTGCTGTGACCTTTCCCATACAGCCTGCTCGCTTGCAGCTACCGGTGTTGAAGCGGTTAGGTATGAGGGTGAGTGAGTGTGTGTGTATGTGGTTGTGGCTTTGAGTGTGAGTTCACCTTGGACATAAATTTATGATAAGCATRCAAGCATATGCACATTTGTAGGCAAGCCAGCCGACCAGCGGCATATGCATAGGCGCACAAGTTTATCGCCAAATGTTGGTAGGCACGGCACGGCACCGCAGGGCGTATGAGCTACTTTTGGCGCAACGTCGTTGGCATAAATTAGAGCTGACGTGTTACGGTCGCGTATTTCTGGCTGCCTTCACATATGTGTGTRTTTGCATGCCATGCAGCTAGCATTTGCATTAAGCACGTTTAATAAGCTTTCGGAGAGTTTAATGAGGCTGCAAGGTGGGTCATTTTATTTAGAATTTTTATGGAAAATATTGAAGTTAAAAAAATTTTATAAAATTTTTCACATGGTCTGAGATTGCCGGAGCAATTTTAGAAATCTTTTAAAGCGGCTTTTAGACTTTTATAAAAGAAATAACAGGATATAGAAGCACTGAACCGTTATGATAATAKGTAATATACATATTTAGTCTTAATTTAGGCCATAGAGCACATCCGTTATTGAAGAACTATGATTTKSAATATTTGTGCAAWGATTAAATGACAGGGTTRCCACATGYTTGYAACTTTTAAGTTAARCAAAAATGGTATTAATAAAAAAMATGGRAATTAGGTATTAAACCAAAAAGTKGTAAGCAATTTGGTAGCTCAAAATATTTTAGTAGGGTTGCCATGTATCTAAGTATTTGAATGCAAAMAATTTTTTCATATGAAAGAATTACTAAAGCAAATGTGTCAAATTAAAAAAGATTTGGAAGGWATTAAAGTTGTGACTGGACTCGACAACTCGTTTGGAAAGTATTGGGTTGTCGAAAAATAATCATCCCCTATGAGCTGCTTCTACATTTTACTGTCAACGACTGATGAGATTGACA